TGGCGACTCGAGCGCCCTCTTCTGGCGACTTGACTCACTCCGGACCTGGCAACCCTGGCGAGGGGGGCTCTAGGCGAGGGGACGAAGCCGAAGACAGTCGAAGTGGAGTCGCTTCCAGGAGCGCACCGTCGAGCGAGTCCGCGTCCGTCACCGTGACCCTCCGAGTGCCTCAGTGAACCTCCTTCGGCCCCACACTCTCCGCGCTCATCACCCTCACCCACCCTGAACAATCATCACCTGGATATCAGTGCTGTGTGTGTGTGTGTACATCAAGATCGTGTGCCGTGTGTTAAGTGTTGTGTGTGTGCCGTGTGCCTAGTGTTAGTGTAATTACTTTAAGTGTTTTCAAGTAACCGTGTGTTTGACTCTGGCCGAAGTACCTGCTCCCCCAACTACGCTGTACTGGTGGGATGTGTGTGGAAAAAGCCGTTGCTGTACCGATTGCTTGAATAATTAACATTTACTCTAAATCTCGCCTTTCCTACCCTTTACCTTGCATCACACAGTCCAGCCAATCGAACATTAACTTTTAAATTATTGGAAAGTCAAAACCACGACCTTACAGCCTACTGTACTTGTCTTTGAATTTTGGATTAGAGCGTTGAAACTGACTTTTTCGCTGTTGAAATCCATCACCCATCTCCTCTCCTTTATCTAGTGCTCGGACTTACATCACAGCGCAGCAGGAGCACGATTGGCTGCTGCGCCTGCCCCGCCTGCCCCGCCTGCCCCACCTGCCCCGCCTCCGCCTCCAGGCCGTCATCGTCGTAGTGATATCGTCCTCTGTGCTGTAGGCGAGACACCCATGTTTAAACTTTTAAGTTAAATCTACAATACCAGACAAACAGGAACAGGGCATCTCAATCACATCTCAAGTTGTCTATACCTACCGCTCGCAAATCTCTCATCCTATTTCTGGTTGACATTCGTCTGACGGATGGCGTAAGCTTTCCCGGGCGTGAAACTCCCATCTACAAGAGGAAAACGAGATTAAAATTGGGCTATACACCCAAAAAAGTCTGTTCTTGGCCCAACCCTGGAAAAAAAATTAAGAGAGAAAGTGGAAATTAAGGGGCAAGTAAGTGGCACGGAAGTGTCAAAGAGCCCAGGTGGCATTTAAGTGTCATACAAATGGCAATGAAGGTTCTATTTCTGAAGTGGCACTGAGGATACTTTAGAGTGGTTCCCAAGGAGTAATGAAGCGGTTAATATTAAGCGGCACTAG